AAAAAAATACAACCTAGTTTTATCAACTAAATTAAATTCCCACTAAAAAGGTGAACGCGACGAATGTAAAAATATAGTTTCCAATTTAAATAGCTACGATTTTATAGTGCTTGTTGCCTTTTTTTATTCACTATTTGAAATCATTAACCTTATTTCTAAAACTCTACAGAATGAAAATAATGACTTACAGAAAGCTAAGCTTTCACTAAGTAATTATTTGAATAATCTGAGCGAAATAACAAAAACAAAATTCATTCCATGGTTTGCTGAGCGAGTCCAGAGATTAGCAAAAGAGGGGTGAGGTGTAAAAACTGCTTTCAAAAATAAAAGAAAGAAGATAAAGAAGCGTTATTTTAATGAAAGATTATCAGAAGGTTAGAGAATTTCATACCCGGAATCGTATTTCAATGTCCATGTCTACTATTGCTGCTGAGTATATTAATGTCTCAAATTAAACAAAGATTTCAGGGCCTCTAGAGACCTAAGTAATCTAATCGAAGTATATTACCCGAAGAAACTCTTATCTTTTTTAAATGAAATGTTCGAAGTATTACATCATGAGAAACTCTTATTTTTTTCAAACGAAATAATAAAAAAGTATGCCGAAAAACTGTCTGACAAATACAGTAAAAACATGTCAGTTGATCTTTGTAAACAATTAATTACTTTGAAAACATGCTTAAAATCTGAAATTCAGCAAATGCATTCCATTAAGTAATTCATAGAATTATTGCTGTGCGGCTAAAACATTATCTTTCCGGCTAAAAGAAGTTTTTTGAAATAAAAACTGATAAAAATTATCTAAGTACCTTAATGGGAAAGGAAAGGCAATCAGATTTTTCGTTATTGTCTATAGAGGCAGATAATTTAGAAAACACTGAATGTCTTCGGCTATAAATGATTTAATAAAGGTCGGGGAAAAAGTTTCTTCGTATTTCGTTTGTATAAAATTGAAGAAAACTCTCTTTGTTAGTAGTGTTTCTATCTGGCCGGTTTTAATATCAATACATATAGGATATTAAGAAAATGAAAAAGAAGGAGTTAAAAACTCTTTCCCGCCATTTTTCAATTATTTTTCTGTCTGCCAAAATGAGTGAATCTAACGAAGAAATTCGATACATTCTGAAGTTTTATTACAAAAAAGGAAAAATGCGACTCAAGCCGCAAAAAAAATTGTGACATTTTTGAACCTAATGTAGTGTCCGTAAGAGTACAAAATTGTTTCAAGCGTTTTCAGTCCGGAAATTTCAATGTCAAAGATGCAGCTCGCTCTGGTCGCCTTCATACAAATAAAGTCGATGCCATTTTTGAAGAAGTGGAGCAAGATCGGCATAATAGTAGTTACGATATAGCCGAAGAATTGAAGATTGACCACAAAATAGATTTGAGCCCTTTGTAAAAGTGTGAATATACAAAAAAGGTAGATATTTAGGTAGGTACCACACGAGCTCACTGAAAGAAACCTAAGGAATCGTGTACTCATTTGCGATTCTCTATTGAAACGTAATAAAACTGAACCATTTTTGCAAAGATTTATTACTGGTGATGAAAGTGGATCACCTACAAGGTCGTGCGAAAAAGGTCACGGCCAAAGGTTAGTCAAGTCCTGTGGACTTTTTTATTGTAGCGAAACCCGGATTAACGCGCAATAAGGTGATGATGCTTTTTTATATAGAATAAGGGTGACAAACGAACACCAATCTACCTGATGGTAAGTGAATGCAGTGGCCCATGGATATTTACATTTATCCTCGATTAAGAATCAAAACGCAGATGCGTTGTCACCCCTGAGGACTAAAATGGAATGCCTCTTTCAAAATACAGCTACAACTAGTAATAGTATTAAGCTGCTATTTTACGCTGATATTCTGTGAGAATGTGTTCCTTCCGGGTCGAACCGACCCATTCGTGCTATAACCATAATATAGCTGCAGCATGGCTCTACCACCTACAAATGCGTATATTATGCTGATTGTCTGGTGGGATTAGTAGGGCATCGTTTATTATGAACTTTTACTGTTTGGCAAAGACATCGATTTGGATCTCTACTGCCAACAATTAGTAAGACTCGAGCAAGAGCAACGACCAGAATTGACCAACAGAAAAGGAGTAGTCTTTCATTATTATAACGCTAGACCGCACAGATCTTTAGCCACTCAGCAATAATTGAGAGAGCTTGGTTGGGAAGTGTGCATTCACCATATAGTCCTGACCTTGCACCCTCAGATTTTTACCTGTTTCGGTCTCTTCAGAATTCTCGGGGTAGTGTTAGTGTTAGTGCATCAAGAGAGAAAACTACTTGTCGCATTTTTTTGATCAAAAATCCCAAAATCTCTACAGCAACGGGATTATGTCATCTACCTACAAGATGGCAACAAGTTATCAAACAAAATGGCACGTATATAATGTTATAATTAAATTTAATAAAACTTTAAAAAAAAGTGTGCGTATAAAATACGAAGAAAAATTTTCACCGAACAAGACAAGAAAAGTGTATATTTGATTTTAATTGTTTGGCTAGCTTAGTTCCTAGAAGTATTAATAGTACTTAATTATGAACTTATAATTAATACATCAGCGAGCATATAATCAGTATAATCAATATATCAATATATGAGAGCCGTGGTAGCTCATATGATTAGCGCTCACTGTAAATATGACAGTACGCGAGCAAACCGGGTTCGATCCTCGCTGGCACCAATGAAATTGTTAATTGCAATTTAAGTGCAGATTTACCACGTGCTCGGCGGTGAAGGAAAACATCGTGATGAAACCTGCATGTCTGAGAAATAAGAAAAAAATATATTTCGAAGACAAGTGAAGTTCGCCAACACGCATTGGGGCAGCGCGGCGGACACTTCCTTGTCCTAAAACCCTCTCAGGAATGAGGGGAGGCCTGTGCTCAGCAGTGGGAAGTATATAGGCTGAAACTTTACTTTACTTTACTAATCAATATATAATTATTTTAATTCAATGCAAGTGGTTTTGGGCTTTCATTTGGGCCCCCCAACAAATTTTGATACAGGGCCCGTCTAAGGCACGCTACGTCACTGTATAGAAGATCAATAAAGTAGGATATTAATAAAATACAGATTTCTTGACAAATATATTCATTTATAATAAACACAATCTTTGGCATATGCTTTAACTTATGACCAGTCTAATAGAGATCAAAACATTACATAACAGCTAATCTTATTACAAAAATATTTGGTTCTTTTCCAAACTTGAGCAAAATGAGAAATGCAGTAATATATTTACTACCGGACGAAGAGATTATTTTAACATGTGTAAAATCTTAATTTGAATATTTTTTTTGACTACAACTTTACACTTGTCTACTTCTAGAAAATTCTATTTACATATTTTTTGTTTGCGCATATAAGGAAATAAAACATTATGGTGCTGCAAGACGACTTGTAGCAGATGCTAAAGCAGTTAACGCAACGGCTGCTTCGACTTCATCCCGATCATGTCGCAAGGTTTTAGAGGTTAATAATTGTGGTTTGGACTCAAATTTTCGTCGTTTGCCATCAGCCCACCAGGAGTAATTAGTTTCACTTGGTTGGAATCGTGCAGCGCTTTCCAACCATTTGCTTAGGAGTATGGGACTTGTAATATTTTTAGAGTCGTCAGTTTTTATGCTCCTATGATCAACTTCATTCGAGTTATTATTAAAGCTTTCGCACTTATCTGTTGACAATGAGGAAAAGTCCGTGTCTAGATGTTGATATTCTGAGCTAGACTCAGGGCTGCCTTCAAGTCGGGTATCAATGTCCAACGGTTCATGATCGGAACTCGGCGCAGGCTCGCTCCATATGCTGTCATCTGAACAGATGCTAAATTGTTCTACGTTTCCTTGGGCACGGTCGTTGTAGGTGCGAATAAGATGACCCCATGTTTGTTGATTGCGGTCCACGTTTACATTTTTTAATTTTCGTCGCCAATTGGCAAACCAGTTGCAAATCTACAAAACAAAAAAAGGTGAAATATTTTTTCTTTTGCCGTGACGTGAATTCGTGACGTTTCTGTAGTCGGCTTGATGTAGTTAAAATATAACATAGACATAACTATTTAACATATGAATTCTGATTTTAAGATAAATATGTTTGTGCTCTGATTGTGCTGATTTATTTCATGGTAAATATGTAGTAAAGCGTAATTGAGAACAGTCTTTTAACTTTATATCTTGTGCTACATGCTGAAATCGTTTGAATTTTTTTATATCCCTTTATTAATTTAAAAGTATGCACTATGTATGTTAATATTATAAGTACATTTAAAAGACAAGTTCTTTCTACACATGAAGATAATATATTTAGTTGTGGTGTTTAACAAAGCAGTGACAAAAATAGTGCCTATGTATGTACAAACAGCAATTCTTGGCATAAATCCAATTAGGTTGCAAGTAGGCACAAACATGTTGCCTACTTGAAAACATGTACTGTAAAAATTGAGTTTTGATTTCAATTTAATAGATGCACAAATCTTACTTGTATGTATGTCAGTCCTGTTTCTCGAGACAGATATTTTTTTTCTTCTCGATTAGGATAAGGATTCTCCCTTCGACGTACGAGCCAATCTTTCAAATACCGTTTTATTTCTGGTGTAAAAAGCCTCTTCTGTGGTCGCTGTCCAGCTACTAGACTTCTCCTGAAATATGAAACAAATATGTTTGTTTTATTTAATGCTCAAAAATAAAAGCCCAATGTTATTGCTAACGCGATCATTGCTATACGTTAATATTTGTTTTTTATGGAGGAAATGAGGTGAAAATAATTTATGTTATTATATGTTTGATTTGTGAGTGACGCACAAAGAAAATAATTTACTAGAATATGAAAGCAATGATTCATCGACTAACCGAGTGTATCGCCGGTTTCGTACTGGTCTCAAGGACTTTCCACTATCCTCTGTGGTAGGCGATCCATCCATTTTAGCCTCTTTGAGCTCCTGCTCTCTTTGGATAAGTGTCATCGGATTACGAACTGCTCCTTAGATTAAAACGAGATTAAGTGACAAAACAGTCTTTTTAAAGTCACCAGCTGAGTTAAGAGCACGTGCGAGGGCAACGCTGCTTGCGACACGACTCGTGTCCCACAATGTTGTCGCTGTGGGGGATGCTTAGTGATCTATTAAAAAATAAAGAGAAGACGACATAAATAGAATCTCCTTAAAGCATATATTTAATTACATCTAATGCAAGACCTAGATCAATGGTTAATTCCATTTAAATTTGTATCGATGTAACAAAACACGACGATCACATTCCTTAGATCACTTTTGGCTGTTGTTATTTGCTAGGGAAGTTAGCCATACACAATATCTAAACATATTAGTTACTTTTATTTGAGAGCTCATAGGGGAGGTTAATTGAACGTCTTTGTTTCAAGCTATTGTATTCAGTAATCATCATTAAAAACAAAAAACATGTTAACTGTTACGTGTACCTACTATCGAGGTCGATGTTCTTTTAGTCTGTTCACATTACAAATTTTGAAACAAAAAATGAAATAAACTGCGATCATTTAAAAGGAGAATAACAACTAACAGTAGTATTCTTAAACATTGTAAAATATTTTGGGTATAGAAAATACGTACCTGATTGTGGGAAAGCTCACTGGATGTGTGAAAATGGCGTCGGATAAGCGGGCGACGGCGATGGTAGCGCCGCGGCGCGGGCGCTTCGTTTTGCTGCAAATTCATGTTATTTCAGGATGACTCCCGCGATGTCTTCAAACACCGTTCTAACAACAATGATATGTTTTTTCATAAATACTCATCATTTACAAAACCAACAAAATACATTTTAAATTCAATCCACTTCACTTCAATTCACTTAAAACTTATAAACTAAACTTAATAGCGTAACAAAAATAATTAATTCCGTATAATAACTCGATTATTTTTAGTTTTTAAATGGAAGATGATAGATCTATTTCCATTTTATTTCTAGTAACAATAAAAAACCCTGTGGTGGCAGTGTAAGAATACTCACACCGCTCACATCACATCAACATTTATCATACCGTGACGTGTCGTCAAAAGAGGCGACGGAGAAGGAAAATGAACCGGGAGATGGAGCTACAACTTCCTCGTGACAGCTTAATAAAGATAACAAAATGCACTTGCTAACTCGCTTGCCAAGCGTGGCAACTATGGCATCCCTCTACAAACCAATCAATGGGGAAGGCCTGTTTTCAGCCATGGAATTTTGGTAGTTTGTAATGCTAACAATAAAAAAATTTAGTTTTTAGGGGGCGATTTTTCATTCAACAGATAAAAAATATTCTTAAGATGAAATACAACATGAATTAAAATTTACAGTGGTATAAATAAACAGTAAAATTTTATTATACGACTTTTACCTTCAGTGAGGATGTAATTTATTTCACGGATAACTTTTATTTGACGATTGATATTTTTCGTTCTAATCATACTTAATCATAAAAAGCCAAACCTCCCTCGCTACGCGTTTGAGGTGTGCAATAAGACAATACTATATATTTTTTTTTATATAGGATAGGGTGACAAACGAGCACACAGTCCACCTGATGGTAAGTGGTTGCTGCGGCCCATAGACATCTACATCTATCTTCCATTACAAATCAAAATGCAGATGCGTTGTCACCCGTGAGGACTGAGATGGAATGCCTCATTTCCAGTAAAGAGGGTCTCCGGTTCTCTACACTCACCATACGAAATACAGCAGCATTAAGCTACTATTTCACGCTGGTATTCTGTGAGAGCGTGGTCCTTCCCCGGTCGAGCCGATCCATTCGTGCTACAACTATACTACTAATATAATTGCAGCATGGCTCTACCACGTAAATTTACACCGTTACCGTTATGGTTACAGCCTATTAGATTCCAATGCTGAACATAACCCCCCTCCCCCATACGTTGCATCATAGGGGAGAATATTTATCATAGTAGCCACGCTTGGCAACCGCAGTTTTTTATTTTTAATTGTTATTAGAAAGACACTCCTGCCAGTCTTCTGATTAGTGTCCCTCTGTCTCCGTCTTGCGGCACCCACGGGATGATACCGGGTAGTGAATATTACATCTTACAACGCCACTACACGGTTTTCAACGGTTGTCAATTAAATAAAGGTATATTTTACTTCAAAATATACCTTTATTTTTTATATACTTTACTTAATTATAATGATATACATAAAATACTGTTTTCAGTATTCGGTTGACAACTTATTCCTTACTAATTTCAAAGAAAGTTTCGTTCTCCGAAATGATCGTTTTATTATTTGCGAAGTGCAATGTAAAACATAATTATATTTTTGTTTTATTGTTTAGATTATATTACAAACTATTTTATTTGGAAAAACTCTAATGCGTTGTAATTTGTTGAATTAGTATTTCGTTTTTCATACGCCTCCCACTATAGAGCGGGTTGTAAGATAAACGATTTTTTTAATTTAATAAACTAGGTATAAATCGAGTTTCAAGCGAATAGAGATCGTATTTCTAGACCTGGAATATTTTAGAATTGACAATTTTTAGAAGGTTTTACGGTATTAACCTTCTCACAAATGGGTATTTATCAAAGGTTAAGAGATTTTCCTGACTTTTTATTATAATGTATTATTCTGTATCATACTGAATTGATTGAATTTACAAACAGATGCGAATCTATAATCAAGATAAAGCATTATGAAAACATTACGTTGTATACAATTATAAGTTAAATGAAATAATAAACTGCGGCTAGCAACCCACCCGCCAATTTGTCTCGTGCCAATTTTGGGAAATATCCCCCCTATGCGTAATCTATGGAAGAGTCCTATGTAATAGTAGACTTTTGATAGACTGTTTGTTTTGTTTTTCATTTAACATTATAAATGTGATGTGAGCGGTGTGAGTATTCTTACACCGCCACTACACGGTTTTTTTATTGTTACTAGAAATAAAATGGAAATAGATCCATTATCTTTCATAGATTATATTATGGTGAGGTAACAAGTTCCATCATCTCATCTCATCCCTATGTTGTACTCGTATGTATCATCAGCGGCGACTATGAGAAAGTACAAAAACCTGCGTATCGAACCGAACCGACCGCTTGACCGCCTGTCAAGCGCCATGATAAATGCAAATCCTGCCTACAGCTAAAGGATGATGATGATGATGATCTTTTTCACCATAGTCTCTGCGTTCAAGTTCTTTGGTATCGCGATTATAAATCAATCTATACTGAAAGGTCTTCAACAAGAATTGAAGAACACAAATTGGTGGTTTCAAACCGACCAACCAAAAACCGTGAACGTGTTCATTACGAGTATTCATATTGAATGCTTAAATATTTGGGGATGAATTTGAGATCTACATAATTATATTTCATTTAAAAAAATAAGACCAAGCGACGAAAATCCAACTCGCTGTATTTGTAGCTTTAAAAAATGATAGTGACATTTGATATATTCGGAAGCCTACAAAACACTAAAAACTAAACTAAAAAATATTAAACACATATTTGGTGTATGGTCAAATGTGTTTAATGGTTATGGGACACACACGTGTCTTGTCGTCGGAACATTACTAAAATGTTTTCCTTTTAAACTCTAGCTATGTAGAGCAACATTGATTTTTTTAAATTATTTCCGTATTAAAATTTTTTGTGGTTTTACTAAATGGTTTCACCTTGGAAAGTCCTTATATATGAGTATTTAACAGTTGAATAATTTAAGGGAGAATAATATCTAGACGTAGTGCATCATCAGTCTTGTGGAATTATAATTTGAATGAAAAAAAAAATTCGATATGTTACTAAAAGAATCTGCTTACAATAGTTGTAATTGAATTGTTACTTAATGATAATAATAATATTTATTATTATCATTAAGTAACAATATGCGTTGCACTTTTTTAATATAATGCATAGGTACGTACTAGAGTAATAGAAAATGACGCAACAAAGTCATAAGTGACATCATTTACCTGTTTTTGTCTACGTAACAATACTCTTTTATCAATTAGAGTGACTATTATTTGACAGATTTTGTTGTCGAAATAAAGCAGTGGGCCCACTAAACTAAAACATAGAGTTAAACTCTCTTTAATTTTGCCGGTGCGATTTCCGCCGAGGCCAGAACATCGATATAATAGTAGAGCACTGCGTATGTCTTTTTCACGTGCTTTGAAAATTCAATTTGTTATCTCTTTCTAGATCCCATCGCATTTCGTTCGAACATAATCGGGTGAACGCCATACAAATTCAGGCAATCAACTCTACATTTACATTACACATGCGCCGCGGCGTTTGTCTGATATAAACGTGTGACGTGTTGGGAGTTAGGAGTAGTTGCGTGGTTCGGTTTGACGTCAACTTTGTTACGGTCGCTTAATCTAGTATCGTATGACAATCTAGAAAGCATAAAAATACTTACTGAAAGTGAGTCAGTTGTGTAAAAATAATTTAGTAGGCAGTGTTTTACCTAGCGGTGGTCAAGCATCGTGGACAGAAAACCGCCGGTAATCCTCATAAAACCCACGTGCGTTGTGTTTACCGGTGTACTTGATTGATTTTTTACGTTATGGGTGAAGAAACTCTCAATGAAGACGGAAAAGTAGTATTAGAACGGAAAATAACCCTATTCAATGGTGTTGGAATAATAATCGGGACTATTATTGGTTCCGGAATATTTATATCTCCGACGGGAGTTTTCATTTACACAGAGTGAGTCTAAGAATTTTTTCCCGCCTTTTATTTATATACTTAGAATTACCAAAAAAAGGTCTACATATAAATAATTAAGAGATAGGTATTTTAAAATTATTAAAAAATCTAGAAAAATTAAACTATATTAATAATTACATTAACTCAATATTTACAATGACTTAAAATTAAGGAGATATTTTTTTAAATAATTTTATGTATTAATTGAGGAAGAAAACGCCTTTTTAATCTACTAAATGTTTCTTTTTCAATATGACCAAATAATTGGCCACTTCGTCATAAGCTCATAACTCATAATATAGCTCTGTGGGTGTCGTAAGTGGTGAGTTAGAAAACTCAAACAGGGCAGATAGACACTTAAATAATAAAAAACTGCGGTTGCTAAACCGCCTACGAAGCGAGGCCAAATATTGCAAATATCCACTATGTGGGAAAGGGATTGTCCTTCCCCATAAGATGAATATTTCATGTTTAGTTCAGCAGTGGATTATGATAGGCTGTGAAGATGATCATCATCATCACGAAATAATCGCCGAGTGACAAAGTATACATATAATATAATTATGATGTTCATCAGTAAAGAAACCGTTGTTCAGCGTAGAAAACTACAATCAAAGGCAGTTTGCGTTGCAGTTACTATTATTTCATTGTAAAGGATATTGTAAAGGGTACTATTTAATTGTAAGTAATAAAATTATACCAGCTTCTGAGAATTATGACATTTAAAATTTTTGTAGACATTTTTATGCACCCGTTTAATTTATTAATTAACATTAAGGTCTAATATAACTCTCGTTTTTATTTATACAGCGTAATTTTTTCGTAATGCTTTATCTTGATTATAGCTTTCCATCTGTTTGTAAATTCACCACTAGACGCAGATAAAGTTTTCTCTATGAGGTAGAAATTTATTTGATTTTCATTAATAAATAGTTTTATTGTTATTGCTACAAGATTATTTTTCTTATATCTCTTCTTCTTTATCAGCCCGTTAATGTCATATGTCATAA